GGGGGCGGGGGGCGGAGCCGGTGGCTCGTGCTCCTGGGGGTTCCTGAGCAGCCCAGCGCCGGCCTAGGGGCCTCGGTCCCACTCTGGAGCCCCCGCCTCCATCCCAACCGCCTCTGCCCTCATCCTCTGCCTCGCCCCTCCAGCGCACTGGCCCCCTCACTTTTGGCCCTTCTCGGGAGCCTTGGGGGGCACAAATATAAAAGCCCTGGGCCACCAAAGAGTTAATCAGGCCCGCTCGTAGGCAGTGCCCTGCAAAGTGCCAGTACCTGTGCTGGTAAATACCCAGCTGGTACCGCACCCTGTTGCCTTCAGAAGTGCTCGTAGGCAGTGCCCTGCATGGTGCCAGTACCTGTGCTGGTAAACACCCAGCTGGTACCGCACCCTGTTGCCTTCAGAAGGGGAGTTTTGATTAGACCAGAGGCCGTAATATATACAGTGACCCTCAAATGTCTGTACAAGTGCAGAGTTTAAAAAACTGAGTTGTTAGAAGTTTGTGTTCAAGTAATAAACTCCTCTCAGATTGCTTTTTCTGCTTTTACCCTTTATTGGGGTCACGGTTGCATATTTATGTTTTGATAGTTGAGGTCTACAGCCAACAGCTATCTCTGCTTATTTAAAAACGTATCTTTAATGTGACTCTTGTCTCACAGCTACCAGTTAATTTATCTTTGGCTGCTGGAAGCCATGTTATTTGAAAATAAAGGTTGAATAGAATGGATTTTTTTTCTAATTTCCCAAGGAGTTTTTCTTGGGTTCTTGGAGGAATTTTTCAAGCTGACAAATTTGATCTCGGTGTCTTGTGGTAGCTTTTCACCACTATTCTTTTCTCTTGTTCAGAATCACCATTGAAACAAACGCATCCAAGAAATAAAACAAAAAAACTTGTGAGCTACCTTCTTTTAGGGAGGAAGAAGAAAAGGAGTATTCAACTGTAATAATGTCTAACCTGAAGTTTATTTGTGTGATGATCATTAAGACCCAAAACCTAGACAGATAGGGAAAGTAGCATGTTGACAGAGATTTTTATCTGATCTCTTTTCATTACTTATTTGTATACTATTAATTTGAATGGTCACAGAGAACTTTTAAAAAGAGCATAGTGTCTTCCCTGAAAAGCACTGACTGATTCCTTAGGACACTATGCTCTTTTTAAAAGTTCTCTGTGACCATTCAAATTAATAGTATACAACCTTTGTGGTGGTTTTTTGGGAGGTTTTGTTTTGTTTTGGATGTCTGTAAAGCACCATAGGCCCCATGGACACAAACAGTTATATACAGTAAATGAGTTTCCTATTACAAGTTCTTGGAATATTCAAAGCTATCAAATCTCTTGGTTGGAAGAGGAACTTTGACTATTAATGTAATGAACTTCTTAAGAATTTAGCATATGGAGAGACCTTACCTTACTACTTATAATCTGAGCTGTTCAGTATATTAGCTTGTTGTTTATGTCTTCATGTAACACAAGAACCAGGATTTCCCAATTAAATCAATAGGCAGCAGGTTTAAAACAAACATAAGGAAATAGTTTTTGTACTACCTGTAATGGGGATGATCTGAAGGTCAGAAGTATAACTGGATTTAAAAAAGAGTGAGATGAAGTTCTTGGAGGATAGGTCCATCAAAGGCAAAGATGATCTGCAATGTCCCTAAACTTCTGATAGCCAGAAGCTGAGACAGGACTCATTGGTCTGCTGAAGTGTCTGGCACTGGCCACTGTCAGAAGATAAGAATATTGAGCCAGATGGTCCATTGGTCTGACCCAGTTGGCCATTTTTAAGTACTGTGATAGAAACAGAATCTTTCTCCACTAAAAGGCTCTGTTCCAGAAAGTGTTACAATTCTTGTAAGGCCTTTTTATCTGGGCCAAGTGAAAATGTAACTGTAAAATATTTGAAAAGGAGTTTTTGGTTGTTTTTTTGGGGGAGGGGTTGGTATTTAATCTTTCTGAATCTTAGTTGCAGCTGTTTAAACAGGCTCCATACTTTTCATGCTTTTTTGAGAGGTTTTATATATCTGCACCTATGGTTTATGCTCTGCATTCTTTGATTGTTGTGACATGTTGGGTTTCAGTTCATGGAGATGATGTCATTGGATGTGGCTGACAGCACTCAAGTATATGCTGCGTTCTTGGTTTACTTGGACCTCTTAGAAGGTAATTCAATGAAAGTATTTTGCTGAGCAATCTAGGAAATCAAATTAACATATCTAGTCTTCTGATTTTCAAAGACATACATGCCAGCAGCACCCATTCTATTCTCTAGGTATCCCAAAATTAAACACAGTAATTAGCTACACTGAACAAGCAATGTGTGACTGGGTCACAGGGCATCAACTGGGATAGTAAGACTATTGCAACTTGTGTTGAAGACTGGTAGTTTCAGGTATTGAGAGAAATTTAAAGTTTTGCCCATAAGTTTGTTCAGATCTGCCATCATTAATTATATCCCTCCAAAGCAAATGATTGATCATTGTTTGCATGAATGCTCTTGTATCACTGCAATTAATAATCCTGAGTAAATATTTTTCCCGACTACAGTGATTGAGCTGTGCTTTGTTAATTTGTAATCTTGCAGTTATCAGCCAGTTTCTCAGCATCTTAATTTTTTTCACGTTCGGGTTGATACCAGGTTACAGTCATACATTAAAGAGAATCAGGACAAGAAATGCATGGATTTTTTTTTTGTCTTTGTAAAACAAATACTTAGGGGCCAACACTTAATATGGTAAAAATCATCATAGCACTGGTGAAGTTAGCAGAAGTATGCTGATTCACACCAGCAGACCAGTGGTTCTCAACCAGTGGTATATTTCACCAGCTCAGTGTTTGCCCAGTTTTACAGCAGACTACATAAAAAGCAAAGTCAGTACAAACTAACATTTCATATAGTGACTTGTTACTGTTTCATATGCTACATCGACAGTTCTCATAGTGTGGGCGAGTTCATTTTAGTGGAGTTGCCAGGGCCAGCATTAGGCTTGCTGGAGCTTAGACTGGAAAACTGAAGTCTGAGACCCACTGTGTGGGGTGCTGAAGCTGAAACCCAAGTTTTTAAGTGAAGTGAAACTATGAAAGGAAAAAAAGACCACAATAAGTTGACTTTCTTCTTAAACTTATACCACCCGTAATGATGCAACCAGAGAGAAACTTGTGTTTTGTGCTTTGGTCCTTTTTCAATTTTCAGGCAGAAACTGGCATGAAGTGACATGCGTTGGACTAGCAGAATTCCAGCTCATATGTCTCCATGGTCGTGAGAGAGAAGCTGAGAATTTACAGTTTGTAGTGCCAACACCTGTCCACATGTCATTCACTCATGAGAGGTAAGCGAGTAACCATAGACTACTTGGTGCTGAATTACCAGCAAGAAAAAAGAGGATGTAAATTTCTAAGAGTTATCAGTTGCTAGAAAGCTTTAGAAATGCATTTTCTGCCAAACGAAAAGATGACACCCCTCTCTCCTCCTCAAAAAAGGTAGAGGAAAATCAAATTTAAATGCATGAGCTGAGTTATGTCTAGTATTAGGAACATTATAAGGCTGGGGTTTTTTCCCTTTAGCCTGATAAGTTTCTTTTGCTTTTTCCTCACTTGAAACCATACTTCTTAATGTAACAATTTCTGCAGAAATTGGCAGTGTCCCCATTGGAAAAAAATACTTTGTATTGTTTGAGTCCTATCTGAAGTATTCATGGTGGCCACCTCTAATGGAGTTTATATGGATAATTATTTTCAAGTACCTTGAAGATGATGAAAAAGCTTGCTTTCTACTGCTTTTGTTAGATACTGAATCACAGGAATGGACTGCTTTTTATTAAACGTAATCCTGGATGCTGTCAGTCTGAAAATCTGCTTCTACAGGCTAAAAGCAGTTTTATAAAACTGCATTTTCAGAGCTATGCTTTTGTATTAGATTTCTGAGGAAAAAGTGCTGTATAAACTAGGGATGCAAGTGACTAGTCGAGTGACTGCTCAACTAGTCGCTTCCCTGCCCTTTTCCCCTTCCACCCACTGCCTCTGTATCCAAGGCAGCAAGGGGAGGAAGCTGGTGCTGGGGGGAGCCGGCTTCACAGTTTCCGTGAGGCAGGGGTAGGGGAGGCAGAGCCTCAGCAGTCTGTGGGAGAGGCAGGGGCAGGGGAGGCAGAGCCTCAGCAGTCTGTGGGAGCTAACCCCGCTGCAGTTCTGCACTTTACATGTAGTAAGAGCCCACTAGGCAGCAAGGTGTGGGAGATCAGGAGCCAGTGCCCATGAGGAGCTGGCTTTAAACAGGCTCTCCCCAAGCACTGGTTCTGCGTGCCCTTCCTCACCCCCACACTGCTACCTCTGATGGAGGGTGAAGCCGGTACACATGGGAAACCGGTTTTTAAGCCAGCTCCCCATGTGTATCGGCTCCATGGACCCCCCTCACCCCCCCCCCTTGCTGCCTCCTACAAATGCAGGGAGTGGGGCAGGCAGGAGTGATGCTGAGGGCAGCTGTCTTAAAAGCTGCAGGGGAGGACAGGGCAGGCTGCCATGAAGCAGCCTCTGTGACCAGTGGGCAGCTGGTCCATGAGGGGATCTGGTTTTTAAACTGGCTTCCCTCATGGACCAGCTTCATCTGCCACCTCGCACTGCTGCCTCTGATAGGGTAGAGTGGGGGTGGGAGCACACTGGCTGCTGGCCCTGCCCCCGAGGACTATCAAATAGTCATGTAACCGATAACATTTTGTGCAGGTGCATGACAATTCAATTACACTAGGCCTAACATGCGCTCTGCAATATAAAGCTTTTATATGATCTTTATACTGATCTTTATATGATCTTTATATCTTTACCTCAGTGCAGCTGGCTCCCTGGGAGAGGGGCTGGGAGCTGGCTTATAATCTGGCTTTCAGTTTGTATCAGCTCCTTGGGAGCTGCCTGCCGCCCCATGCTGCTGCTTCTGATCAGACACAGGGTGGCAGGGCTGTGCAGGAGCCTGTTGCCCCATGTGTAACTGCTGAAATTTTCAGATATTACACCGTTACTTAATTATATGAACTTTAACATCCCTACTATTAATATCTTTTTTTGGCACAATTACATTTCCCAGTGATGTTATAGGTGACTGACTTGTCTGAAGCAAACAACCTTGCATCACAATAATAAATGTGTAGTAGATTC